TTTTTTAACGAGAAAACTAAAACTAAAATATAGTTGCACAAATCCACAAATCACTGTTACGCAAAACGCAAAGTGAGGTTACGTGGCGTACGTTAGAATTATATACGTCATAATACGATTGCCGGTCGTCCGGTTTGATGACTTCGGTCGTGTGAGACGACTAATGTTGGAGACCCGGTCGGAATTGGTATATTGGTAGTTCATATTAAGTCGGACACAGAAATCCGCCATTCTTAACACGTATCCGATTATTATCAGCCATTTTAAAATCGTTTTTTGTTTTTAAAATTTATATTCACATTTCGATTTCTAGTAGAATAATATTGATAAGGTTGAGTTTGGGGGGAACCACAGTACAGTTTTATGATTAAACCAGCTAGAAAATTAAAAAAATATTTTGCGAGTTACTTTTTTATAGATATTTTTATTTCATAAATCTACCTAATTTTGAAGGCCGCTCGTTGTTTTCCGGAGTATTTTAATCAGATATATCAAGAAAGTGACTTCCGTTAACAAAACTGATGTCTGGATTAATGATTCAGAATTATTATAATATAAAATTAAATAGGCACTTATAGTTATATTCGAGGAGTGATTATGAATCCATTTGTAATTAGGTTGTTTGGTTAGGTTTTTATATATTCTTGGTAGCGAATATGAAACCAAACGTAACGTAAGTGCTTAGCGACGAATTTTAAGTGACTAAAATCCAACGTAATATGACGTTGGTAATTGGTAGAATTACATTCCCTATTAGGTCAGATACCGACGTCGAGACGACCCGAATCTGTATTCCCCATTTAGGTGCAAATAAGGGTCGTCAGGCAGTCGAACCGACGTTGGTATCCGACGTCGGGTTTATTGAACGCGACGTATACCCGACGTTAGATAACGTCCAAATGCTACTTGGGATGGTGTATTCAAAAAAATTAAAAACTATTGAAGAATAATCTCCACAGCATATTTTGAATATTAATACTAAATTAAAATCGTGTATTCGTCATTTTGGTGAAAATGTTTATAAAAGTGAACACTGGTTATGTGGTTCTGAGGCACTCAATAAACATTTTTGTTGGCCTTCTCTACTATTTTATCTAACAGATACGTTTACAGCTTTGTTTTTTTTTACCTAAATTCAGTTCTTTTTTAAATTGGTTTGATTATTTTTGTAACTTCAAAATTAAAAACTTAAATAAAAAAAAATTTATTGTGTTGGTAAAATTTTAATTGCAGTTACTTCTTATATCCCCTTGTATTGACGCCACGCTTCGCCGCTGGTATACCCTGTATACCCTGTATATAAATATTCAAAACTTCACAAAATGAAGTATTGATCAAAACCTATAATTAATTCAATTAAATTTAAAAATATATTTCAACATTAAAATCCATTTTAATAATGCCATAAATTCGAAAATACGGGCCAGAGTTTAAACCTAACAAAAGCAATTATGCAGGAAAGTCATTAAATATATAAAATGTAACCATTTAGGCATTTAATTATAATTAAATGTAATACTTGCCTATCAATTCTATTTTATATAACAATATATTTCAATTTCTATATAGATGAAAGCCTGTATTGGATTTAGTAGAAAATGTATTAAAAAGAAAAAAAAAACATTTATATAGTTCATATCGAATAAACTTTTAGTCACGTGATCAAGCTTGACAGGCACAGCGTTGCCAACTTTTACATATTTTCTTTTAATCAAAATATTTTAGAACACAAAAATAAATTAATTATAAATATACAGGGTGGTCCGAAATGTATTCCGGAAACTTCGGCAGCATATTCTGCACATAAAAATAAGTAAAAAAGTTTGTATAAATGTATGTCCTAAAATGCTTAGTTTCGGAGATAACAGGGTGTAGAAATTTCATTTTTATTTCGATTTTTTCCAAATAATTTCTGAAGTAACGTCAATATTTAGATAAAAATTGGTATCTGTGAGTTCTTTGAGATGACATGAGAAATTTGATTTTGATGTCAATATGACTGAATATTTTTTAACAGGTGTGAAGAGTAATAACTTTTCGTCCGTACCTGTATAAAACTACTGAGAAAAAAAATATACATTTACGACGTTTTTTAAGTGAAAAAGGTCTCTTGGTAAAAATCGCCATGAGTAATGGTTTTCGAGATATTTGGAATCGAACTTATCAATACCTGTCATCATTGACATAAATTAAACATGTTGACTAAATAGTTATTAGACTGAAATCATAAATTTGAAATGTTTTTGTGCCAAAAGTTGAACAGAAACTTTTTTATCATCATTTTTTGCAGAAAAAATTATGATTAAAGAAATAAAAATTTCCCAAATTTATTATTTTTTCAGTGAAATAACTATCTACCCATAACGTGTTTATTTTTCGTCAATAATGACATGTATTGTCTATTTCCATTCTAAATATCTTAAGAACGGTGGTTCGTAGCGATTTTTACAAAGAGATATTTTTTACGTAAAAAGTCACAGAGATGTATATTTTTTCGCTCGGTAGTTTTATACAGGTACGGATAGAAAGTTATTACGCTTCAAAACAGTTAAAACACACACGCCCTCTATTAGTAGGAGTCATATTGATAGCAAAATCAAATTTCTCATGTCAAAAAACTCCCAGACACCAATTTTCATCCAAATATTGACGTTACTTCAGAAATTATTTAGTAAAAATCGAAATAATAATGAAACTTATACACCCTGTATCTCTAAAAGTAAGCATTTTAGGACATAATTTATACCAACTTTTTTACTTATTTTTATCTGCAGAATTTGCTGCCGAAGTTTTCGGAATACAGTTCGGACCATCCTGTATAAACAGTTATTATTTACATCAACAAAACTCACCTTCTTAACAGCACTTAAGGGACATTACTAGCGCTTTCCCGTTCAAAATATTCTAATAAAGTTACGATGAGTTTTTTACGGCTATTAAGCTATCATGTACACTTCGCACTAAAAGAGGTTTCAAAAAGAACAATGTTCGACTGCAAGGTCTGCTATTAAGACTTTTTAAGCTTAAAATATCTCAACACAATTTATTTAAACCAAAAACTTCTAATACATAACTAAAAACGAATGACAATGTCGGGAAATAAATAAATAAATGTGGCAACTTGACATTTTTTACAGCAGAGCTACCACCTGCATCCCTAGCGGGAAGTTTAAATCCCAGTTCGTCAGCACGGCGCCGAATATGTCCATGGTTGGTAACAATGAATTTAAAAATTGTGCCTTCTATTACGTAACTAAAAATTTAATTGGTATCGAATATATTCAATCGTTTTAATTTCCATACATTTAATAATTAATTGTTTACTGTTAAATTATTTATATTTACTATTTTTCTCATTTAATTTAAATTTAAAGATTAGTAATAAAGTGTGGTAAAAATTCTGCGCTAAAGAAATAATGCAATGTATAAAGTGACTTGTGGAATTTACAACAAAAATTAAGATTTTACAAAATACCGTATGACCAAAAAAAAAGTCGTTGATTTGGCTTGGACTTTGAATAAGAAGACTAAGGAAGGAGCATAATGCTATCCATGTATTCATGCATGGTGGGCGGAAAAGGCACCATAAAAGCTCTCTAGGGTGGGGATCCTTGACAGTTCTGTTTGACGATTCATTTGACACATTTGAATTTGATTTGAAATTTTGTGGATTTGTCAGTCTTTATGGAGCTTATTTTATGTTATTTATTATATATTCTACTACGGATAGTTATATAAAGGTAGTAAATCTAGATGGAAATTGTGGCAGAACTTAAATTAACAGTGACACTATCGCGATTTATCGAAAAAGACTCTAAAATAGTTGGTTGTGTAGCGTGCGGTAGATCTCGGCAAAAATTGAGTGAAATAATGGAACAACTTTTCGCTAGTAAGTGACTATATAATATATATACGTGTAGTAAACCGATCATTTATGAAATTCGCTTAAATTAACTAAATTATATATTTTTCTTGCATTTTAGCTTTTATTTATTACTTGTCAAAGATTAGATGTCAAAGAATTTAGATACGTTAATTTGACTTACCTGCTTCAGTAACGTATCGGATGTTTGTGTTAATAAATACTTATTATAACTTATCTATTTTTATTAGAATTATATATTTTTATAACAATTTTAATAACCACTAACATTTATTCACAACGTAAAATAAAACAACAAATTATTGAGTCTACCCCACGTCTACCCTACATCATAGTTTTACATTTTTTAAATAAAATTCAGAATAAAATTAGAACGACACTGATAAACCGGAATTTAAGTCGGCCATATTTGAGGCCCATCGCGGTGTACCTAAGATTTTTGATATGCTCCTTCCTTAGTCTTCTTATTCAAAGGGCTTGGAAATGAGGATTGATGACATTTTGATGATGACAGCAATGACAGCAATCTTCATTTCACAGCCATCGTTGACGCCATTTTTTTCTCATTTATATTGTATTATTGTCAGGATCAAAGAAAGTAGTACATTGTGTTATAAGGAGTAAAAATGATCCTTTTTCTGACAAGGCTGTACTTTTGACATGACATTACAGGCGAGTCACAAAAAATCATTTTTACTCCGATTAGAACATGCTATTTTTTTCAAATGTCACAAATAATGTTTTAAACAATTTCAAACGTTACAAAAATATAAAAAGATTTAAAAGTAGTACCTAGTAATTATATATCGAGAAAATATGGTTATACTCGTTGAATTTTTGACACTTATGTCAGCTTTATTAATAATATAAAATGTTAGTATTTTTGTATTTAGACATAAAAATGCTTTACTTTTATGCCTAGGCGTTAAAATGACTTTTTTATATTGTCAATCAAAAATATTCATTTTTGTGACGTTAAAAAGAAAATATTAAACAATAAGATATATTTGATAAAAAGAACCGTAGTGTATGGAAAATTTTATAGATAGTATCAAAACAAAAAACTTAATGATAACTTTAGTAGGAGTATATTAAAGTCAAAAAAGCTGTAGCTTACCTCATTTTTAGAATGGGGTTCTACGAAGTAAATGTCTTGATGAGGCGAACAATTGATGATGCGACCTTTCATAGCTGAAACAAAAGAAAATAAATGTCAGTGTCCAATTGTTTTTTAATTACGTCTAGTAGACACGACGCTCGCGTAAATTAAAAGAAAAAATGACAGAAAAAAATGTCTTTTTTTTATCTTTGTATTAAAAATTGTGTGTGCACTATGTGCGCATATTTGAAGTGAACCTTCTTACTAACAGCTATTAAATTGAAGAATTTGAAGGATGTATTTTTTTTTTTTGGATGCTTTTCATACACTTCAAAAAAATTAAAGTTAATATAAAACTCTATGTATATACACTATTCTAGCTTTATAATTTTATAATGTTTTTTTATAATTTTTATTAAAAACGAAAATTCTATTACCCGGCCGGATAGCTGTGGCAAAAAGTATTACGCGTTCTTTATTTTAGTGCTGAAACTTTAATAAACACATATTCATTATATTAATGTACTAAATCATTGATTAATGAGTTGTACATTGTGACAATGAACAATGTTATTAATACAACGAACACACTACATTATATTAATGTACGCGGTTATTAATATCATGAATAAAATATTAGGGCTTAAATGTCCGCCATGTTGATCGGTTACTTTGGCACTTTAATAACGTCTGTGTGGTTGAGTTATTCAGTGAGGCTTTAGTTTCATTAGAGCGGTAAGTGTTCTCTTCAATTTTTTAAATATTTTAAATAAAATCCTATCGTATTGTAGTTAATTTGTTGTGTTGTCAAATCAAATTCCGCTGTGTGAGATCTCTGGTGTGGGTATTCATTAAAACAGCGGTTTCCAAATATGTTTCAGAAGATAAAAAAACAAAAAGAAGAAAAACATAGTAACAAAAGTCGAGGCATGGAACTGATTATGGTAAATTCGAATGTTCTTTTAATATTTGGCATTTTAATTATTTTGATATACGTCTTTTAGAACCGGAAGAAGATCTTGAGACCTACCTTCAAGCCCTCAAATTCGACAATTTAACATCGGACCCACTTGATGCGACTTGGAAAGCCTGTTGCAAATTCGTCTAGACGTTATCAAGTCTAAGGATACCGCTTACAATATAATGAAGAAATGGTCTTTTTATAGAAATCCCTCAGAATATCGACTGGTAAATTAATTTTCTTATTATAATTTACCTTAAAATTAATAATAACATTACTATTCTCTTCGTCGATTCGATTTTTTTAATTTTTAATTTGTATATGATATAGCGAGTTTAATAAATTATTATTAGTTTATTGCACTTGTTTTTTTATTAATAATCCCTAATGGAAAAATTTACTGTGCTCGTAAGTAAGTCGGCACTATTAATAACTTTGTAGCTAAGGGCTTGTTCAAATGGAAATCTTTTTATAGTAGAATTATTTCAGGTTGGCTGGGAAATGACTATCAATGACATTTCATATCAATGATAGCGATCTTCATCATCGATTATACAGTGTAACAAGAGTTACTAATAGTGTCGACTTTTAAATGTATAACTAAATAGGTTATGAAATTATTTCATTGTATTAATGAACCACTTATTGGATTATATTAACGAAATCTGTTCATTGAACCAATGAAAGTGTTCTTCAAATTAATGAACACTCTTCATTGATTTAATGAACTTAAAGTTCATAGAGTTAATGAATTACTTTTCATTGTGCCAACGAAATCGTTCATCGGCTCAAAATTAACGATTTAATTCATTATATTAATGAACTTTTTCATTATATTTATGTCGACTTTTGGTTCAGTGAACAAGTATTTCTTTTGAATAATCAAAATTGTCACTTTAAATTTTACATAACCAAATTGTCACTCTAAATTGCTGTCTTTTTTAGACAGATGTCACTTGTCTTGTCGTTATTCACTTCATTATTCGAATTCTCAGAATGTTGATAACAAAAGTTCCATCTTAAAATAAAGTTTTAATCAATCACAGTTGTTTATCTCCATCATTTACGGGATTAATAATACAGAAATTACAGCTCAATTACAAACAATTCATTATTTATAGTGATTTACAGTAATTTTATTAAATTATATGAATGTTCTCGTTGATTATTGGTTTGAAATAAATATGATAGTGTCCTGCAATGAAATGAGTTACTAATTTTAAATTCTAAGTCTCAGCTGGCAAATAAGCTAGATGCTTTACCTAGACCGTTATTCAGAAGCTACAAAAGTTTGAAGTAAAACACTTTCACTTCAAAAAAGTTTTTTGTGTTTGATGAATTGGATATAAAGAACTATTTTTTGGCGTATTCTCTTAATGTAAATCGAGAACTTCTTTGCGTGTACCTAAGGTTATATTTCAAGGTTAGAAACGATCTAAACCCCGATTTTTTTCACTTGCTGGATAACAGACAAGCCGTAAAATGAATAGGGATCGTTGGGGAAAAAACCGTATAAATTCTGGAGGAGCTCGTTTGCAGGGAAAATCTGTCCAGATATTGTGGAAAAAAGGTCGAAGGGGATTCGGGTTTTATTTGTTTAGGAGTTGGGAACTTGTCTCGTAGAGCGATTAAGGTAAAGTTTAGTTTCGGGAAAAAAGGGACCAATTAGTGTCACACGCGGCCTGATTTCAGATAGATTTCGGTGGATTAGAGTTACCAAACTGAGTAGTTTTTTCTAGAAGTTAAACAGTAATTACCAGGAAATGATAATATAATATTGGAAGTAAATGTTGCTGGAGAACCACCCATCTTTGTCGTTAAAGAATAATAATATATGGTAATTGCAAAACAATTTCCGATGCACGTGATCAACTTTGAGTGACAAGAGATGGCGACAGCGCTGCCAGATTGTGATGGATTTATGAGATGAATCTTAATTTAAAAGTGACAAACAATATATTTGTTATATAATTTTTTTTAAAGATTTTTACGTTTTGTTTTTAATTTAATAACTAATATTTTAGTAATTAATTGATTTATTTGTTTTATAGCTTATTTTACTTATTACATATTGGGAAAACTAGTCCATTATGAAGATTATTCTAAGCGTTATTATGGGTTATTTATTTATTTATTGATGTACAGGGTGGGTCAAATTCGACGCTTTTAAATGGAAACACCCTTTTCTATAGGAAATAGACGAAAACTAATATTGGTGTCTGGAGCTCAATTTTCATCAAAAACATGATGGTGAAAACCGCACATCAATATCTGTTACCGTTTCGGAGTTACGGGGTGTTTTTCAAAAATGTGCATTTTTAACAAATCGCTGTAACTTTTTTGCTATGGAAAATTTTGTATTTCTATGAAAACATTTCCAAAGCACCTTTTTACGTAGAATTTAATGGTTTAAGTATAATTTTTTTAAAATTAATAATTTAAGAGTTATCAACAAAAAAATAGATTTTTTATTTGGGACACTCTCTATATTTTTAATTAACGGAAAATAATTTAAAATTACCTTTCCAAAAATATAGCACACTTGATATTTTGTTATAATCCCCTTCGAAATACAGAATTTTTAAAAGTTCGCCACTAGTAGGCTTTGGACCCCTTATTGATGAAATGCCCTTAATGCAACCCGAAAAACATATTTTTCCAGCAAGACGACGCACCGCCTCTGAACGCTGAAGTTATCAGCAAATTTTTGCAGCCAATTTCAAGAATAATTGAATAGCTAACTAAGATCCCAGCCGTTGGCCGTCGAGGCCGCCTGACTTAGGGTCCATGGATCTAATCCTATGTATATATTTGCGGAAGAATAAAGGTTCCTTATTCTTCCGTATAATCTAGACAAGAATTAGAAATACTTAGCAGTTATGAGAGGGTATCTTTCACCCCCACTGAGTTAATGAATTCCGCGAGAAATGTTCAAAAACTGCCCCGTCTGTCCGTAACCGAAGACGGTTGATATGTTGGACACCTGTAGCAAAATCTCATGTCTTGGTTTGCTATTTATTTTTATTGTTATTAGATAGTTTAAATGTGTTGAGGTTGGTTAAATATATTTTAAATTGTTATAAAATTCTGCATCTCTCATAGCAAATATTATTTTCGTTTTAATTGATGCTCACAGCACAATGTTTATATACTCTATATCTCGAAGAGGAATCGAGCAAAATATCAAGTGTGTTATATTGTTGGAAAGGTAATTTTAAATTCTTTTCAATAAATTAAAAATATACAGGGTGTCCCATATAAATAATCAAATTTTCTGTTGATAAATCTTAAATTATTAATTTTAAAAAAATTATTCTTAAGCCAGTAAATTCTACGTAAAAAGGTGCTTTGGAAATGTTTTCATAAAAATACAAAATTTTCCATAGCAAAAAAGTTACAGCGATTTGTTAAAAATGCATATTTTTGAAAAACACCCCGTAACTCCGAAACTGTACCAGATATCGATGTGCGGTTTTCACCATCATGTTTGTGACAAAAATTGAGCTCCAGACACCGATATTAGTTTTTGTCTATCTCCTATAGAAAAGGGTGTTTCCATTTAAAAGCGTCGAATTTGACCCACCCTGTACATCTTATAACTCCATAAGTGGTAATAACAAGTAAGTGGGTGCTATTAATGCACAAACTAATAATCACAGAATTTAATAAAAACTATCATAGAAATTTGAAAGTGGTGTAATGTGCTTATCAATCAAACTTATCTATAGTCTGTGAAACGAATAACTTTGAATTTAAAAGTTCCCGCGAGCTTTTCTAGTGATAATTTTATTAGGTTAGCAACTTGCGGCCATGCTGACGCAATGCCGTCTCTAATATAACAGTCTCGGAACGAGATTTATGACGTCACGCTAGTTAGATACTACTAATAATACTAATATTCACACCTAATACTAATACTAACTAACACTAATACTAATATTCACACCACACTCCACATAATGTTTACTGAAATTAATAAACTAATATAAACTTGTCAAAAGATGACCACATATTTTTTTAAAATTATTATTCTTTAACACTAAAACTATCTACATTGACTATGGAGTACGACTTCAGCCATGAATATTTTATATGTATTTTTTTTTTCATATGACACAACACTGATGAAGG